AAAGTTTATTTGTGTATATAAGATCTTAAAAACCCAGAAGAGAAAGTAAGAATCTGTTTGAATATTTTGTTCTTGAATGCATGATCTATCCCAATGTTGATTCCTGAAGATTGAATATTTAGTTTCCTCATGTAGAAGCAATGTAAGCTTTATCTGCATTATCCAGTGTCATTAATCCCAAGAGATTATAATACATTTAAGCAATGACAAGATTAATATCATTTTGAAATTCCCCCACCTTTTATATGCTCTTTTCTATATTTATTTTATTGTAATGTGATTTTACTATAATTAAATTGATTAATTACTTGATTTTTTTTCAACTGGGTCTTAACATTGAGGATCTATGTACATAGCTGATGTGAATGTGTGTATCTTCCTTGTTTAAAACGCACAGGTTGTATAATTTCTAATAATTATGTCAACTTTTTTGATAAATGCAAATTTATTGTCTTTAGTAATCATAAACTGACAAATAATACGCATTATATGTTAATTACAAAATAATACCACTTGACACATGCATGATACGGATTTATTGTTGTTTTTTTACATTTTTAGTTATTTATATATAAACAAATTTTGTTCATGATCAAAATGGTACTTATATTTTTATTTGATTGTTTTATACTATGACCTTTTTTATTAGGACACAGAATATGATCTAGTTTCTTACTTTCTTTCCCCATTGGTCCCCCGGCTCGAATATGTGTAAGAGAAAAGTGCTTCAATTTTCTTCAGTTAGAAGTATGGAATTATATAATTTAACATACATCTTTTTTTATAATATATGAAGTTTCAATGGGAAGTAGAATTTGTTGTCAAATAATCTTACTGACTAAACCACTGTAGAAACAAATTCATAAATTATACCAAATTTTGTAATTAAGAAGGTCTCCAACTAGAAACATCCACTCTAGTGAAATACGAAATTTGGATTTAGATTTTATAATTATGTAGAATTTGTTAGGTGGATAAAAGATTATTTCTTTAGGTGTACTCATGTATCAGAAAAACAGATCTAGTATCACACAATTTGAATAGTATAATGTTCTTTTCGATTCCATATTATACGGCGCCTTTGTCTTTACGAAAATCCATGTCTCACTTCTTCTTATTAATTACTCATGCGTGTCAAATTATAATATTTGTATGGTGACTATATATGTACACATAACATAGCTTTTACAGTTATGAGAATCAACAAATAATGAACTGAAAATTTAACGTTGAAAATCAAGACATACAATTTAGTGGTTTGTAATAGTGTTTTATCATTTGATCAAATTCGCTAATTGATTTGTTTATCCAAGGCAGAATGTGTAGTGGTTCATATAACTTGCAAGTTGAATTGCTTGTAGTGATTCATATCATTTATCTAGTTTATGACAATCTCTACATTGCAAGTCTTTGAACATCGTTCTTAAGACAAAATGTGTTGATGATACCATTTTGTGTTGGGACACACAGCCTAAGGCTCACTGTTTTTGTGACCGAGACTGAAACAGATGACTTTGAAGAACTTGAGATCTTAAGATAG